CTTGACGCTGGGTCACACAGCTCATTCCCTTAAGATGAGTAGCAGCAGGGTACATTTATATATTTCAAACGTTTCATGGTTGTTCAATTTGCAAATTTAAGTTGATTCGTCAGTGACTCTTTCCTCGCCATTCACTTTCCTTCCTCCGTGATCACCACAGCTCCACACCTCGCTGCTGCTTCTCCTTATTGTCTTTGGAACGTTGTGTTGAGTGTCGGTGGTAGGGTGGTAGTTCTTCTGCCTTCCACCACTGTGACCCGCGTTCGATACTTGCATGGATCCAACGTGAGAAGGGTGTTGTCCTCTGTGACCCTCCTGAACAAGACAGGTTTTCTTCAGGTACTCGTGTTTACTCCTGTGGTAACGCTGGACCCTTGGGGGGGGGGGGGTGGCACTCATTGAACCTTTAGAGGGACAAACTCCTCCAGACTGTTAGTGTTATCCATTATAAATATATTATTCAATCAGTCAGTCATAACTCATTATTTATGGTATTTTAAATATCACTTCAGATTTTTACCTTTTGTCACTGGTACCGATTGAATTTTCTTCCTGTAAAAGATCAAGGTGAGATAGTTGTGTGTGGATGAAGGTCGAGTGGCGGCAGGGAGAGGCGGACAAGGAGGAGATGATCAAGTTAGATCCACTTACCTTTACCTTTCTGTCTCTCGCCACATGTGTCACTCTGCCGCTACCGAGTTGTGCCATGATCCCCTCAACCGTCACAGCTTGTGTGTTGGGGTCTGGACTGTGGTAAGGGAACCATTTGACACACTGCCTCGCCCCATCACTGCGGAAGAACTGAAAAATATGTAGGGTTCTAATATTTCGAGTTAGTATATCGTTTGAGGTGTAACTTAACCCTTTGAGGACGACGACGATTTAATGCCTCAGAAACAGTCAACAAAAGTATATTTAAAGCCTTCGAGTTGTAACGTAATGCCTCAGAAACAGTCACCATCCCGTCTTCTGCCTACTCGTTAATATAAATAAAACAAAGAAATAGTGGCGTAGGTTGAGCGAGAGGTGGCTGCAGTACCTGGCCACCGCGTCTCTTGCAAGGTTCAGCAAATATTAATATCAAATTTCCCAACCTGCCTGGCCAGTCTGGTGCAGCTCTTTGATCAGAACTTGTGTACTATATTAAAACATTAGAAGTGTGTGTAACAGAGAGGTGTGTTTGTGTGGTTTGAGAGTGCGAGAGGAGGGAGGTGTGGTGTGAGAGGAGAATCCTGGGTAGACGAAGGAAGCTTATTAACCAAATTCCGACAAAATCCTTGAAGTGTCGTAACTCTGGAAGACTAAAGTTAACCAAGGAGAGACCAAAGAACAAAGGCTCGAGACACGTACGGATTAGAGGAGGTAAAGACCGACTCACACAACCAACTACAGATAAAGTCGGGATCAAATGGTCGGGAAATAATTGTAAATAGTGTTAGGGTGAGGTAGATGTGAATTTAAATGTTTGTTGTGGTAAGAGGTAAGACAAGTACTGTATAGTCATAATCCACAGTATAATACCTGTTTCATATCTCTTGTACCGATGCCAAAAACAATAACAATCGTAACAAAAAAAGTCACGGCTAACGACCAGATAGAACATTTATTTAAAAAGATGGGGAAAAAATTGTGGTAGTAAATTCCGTAAGAGTTTACAATTGGCCACCATTGACTTTTATTCTTTTGTCCTAGAGCTTAGATAAACCTCATCCCATCATTTTTCCTAATGTGGGGATCGTGCCTTTATTGCCATTACCGAGATGAAAGATGGCCAAACGCGAACTTCCCTCCATTCTTTTACGGTATTTGCTGTAGTAGAGGTTATTTTGGCGGCGTCTGGGTTAGCGGGTGTTGTTCCTTCTCTTCTGATAACGTGTGGTAGAGGAGGCCTTCCACTTGGGTGAGTTTTGTCTTTGCTCCGTCAGGATGTTTACCTGTTGTCTTTCTGAGTCTTTTGTCGCTTGACTTTTCATCCACTTACATTACCTGAAATAGCCTGTGTTTGGAGTGACCTGTACCTCGTGTTGCCTGTACCTGGTGTGGCCTGTACCTGGAGTGACCTGTACCTCGTGATGCCTGTACCTGGTGTGGCCTGTACCTGGAGTGACCTGTACCTGGAGTGACCTGTACCTCGTGTTGCCCGTACCTGGTGTGGCCTGTACCTGGAGTGACCTGTACCTGGAGTGACCTGTACCTGGAGTGACCTGTACTTGGTGTGGCCTGTACCTGGAATGACCTGACCTTCATCCGGATTAGGGAACATTTTTCCTTCCCTGTTCTTCATATTTATCCTTCATTATTCACACAGTGTGTCAGTAGCAGCTCGAGGTGGTACAGTACCTAGACTTGTTTCTGTCTTGTGAGAAAATAACTTCTTCACCTGGTAGCCCGGGTCCTTTACTGGCAGTATTTCTGTCTACCAACACTCTCCCACTCGACCACCGGGTCAGACTTATCTGTTGTTCTTGCCGGTTTGCAAGATTTTGCCGCAGTGATTGAAATGTTATTGTAGTCATTTAAGTGTCGGTCTCAGTGGTCAGTAGGTAGGAGTTGGCTAGCCATAACCTGGCTTAGTGGTCAGCTGGCAGCGGTTTGGCAGCCATATACTGGTTACACAATGCTTCCTTTGGCACTAACAGATGTTCATTGTACCAAACGTTGCCCCCTTGGCAGACAAGTAGGAAAAACAACGTTCCACTTGATATGTTTCGAGCGCTTCTCTCGCCTTTGGCTCTTGTTTTTAAAGTGTGGTTGTTTAGTTAGGGAGTTCGGTTAAACAACTTTCCACTAATATTTGCATATTGTTTCTCACCTCTTGTTCTTGTTCTGTACGCGTATGTAAAGTAGGTTAGGTTAAGGCTCCCTTCACTCGAGCGTGTTTTCCCGCTGCGTGAAAACACGTTCGTGTGAAGGGAGCCTCGAGTTAGGTTAGGTTAGGTAATGTTAGGTTTTACACTTTCTGTACTATTAGACGATGTTTCGTGTGTGCTAGAGGGTGAAGATTTTGGATTACTGTTATAGAAAGAGAGGGGGAAGGGGTGATGTTCGTAGTACGGAAGATGACCAGAGGTGTCGGGCAGGGTGCAGATTCACCTGGCTACACACACACTCGCCAGGTCATCTCTGTAGGTGGGATTAACGCAAATGAATAATGGTGGAGTGTTCACTTGGCAGGCAGACGTTCCCACACTGGACGAGAATGAGGACAACACCAGCGGCGATCCGCACAACTCACTCCTCGTCTGGTCCCGTATTGTCAGATTCACGCCTTATTTTTCCGAATAATTGAGAATAAAAACACGAATCTAAATACGATACAGACTCAGTGCAATTTTGACACCATTATACTAATCATAACCATTTCAAAGTTAAATACATTTACACATTTACACCTACGAGAAAGATTGACGTTTGTATTCCCATTATTTTGGATTTCACAACTCGTCTGTCTGTCTTTCTGTCGTGATATCGTTCGTGACTCAAAAACGTTTTCTCATCATCATTTACGGGAAAAATTTGAAATACAAACCTTTGAGGATCTGAACCGACGTCATGGATTTTACCAACGAGTATTTTTATTATTTTTTTTCGGACAATCCAAATTTAGTGCTTTTTGTTGGAGGCGGAACTGGTCATCAGCGAGAATTTACGATATTTACGTAATACTATAGAGAATGGGAATTTTGCGTGTGTTTCAAGTTAGTTATATATATATTTTTTTTAACCGTTCCCTGTATAATGTCCAAAACTCCATCTTAGTCTCATGGAAGAAATTTTTGTATCTGAAAATTAAACCGCGATAAACTTTGGTGATTTTAATTACAGATTTAAAAAAATATATATATAGAAGAAATATTAATAAAAAAAATGTAAATGTCACAAATATAGAAATATACCGTTGGCCGTTGCTATGGAGACCGGTAGTGGGTGCTGATTCATCAAACGAGTAATTTGTATCTTATTAACACGTGTCTAAATTTTAACTTTTTTTCTGTGGAGTTGTTTAGAAATTGGTGTTGTTGTACTTTTCAATTTTGGACACTTATGACAATATTATTTTCTTTTAATTTTTGTAAACAATCTTATCATCCTGCCATTTTCCTTTATATGGGTTTCAGGGTGAGTTTGGGTTCCATTAGTCTTCCAGAGATTGACGTCATGAGTAAAAGATCCCGTTTTTAGTGTCTTGATCTGTCATAATTTTCTGCGTCCCGAGCGACTTGGAGTCCGTCGCGTGATGCTCTACACGTATCCTGGCTGACTCGTGAAGATACTTGTATCAAATGAATTTATAACATGAGTTTCAATTCCTTCTTTTTTTTATGAATTGGAACCATTACAAAAACATAAAAAATAGAATAACGGATGTCATTAATTTTGGTATTATCTCATTTTTTTTCGTATTAAAAAATTGCCGTGTCGATGCGCAGAACGTGTAGTGATTAATTTTCTCTTTAAAAATATCAAAACTGATGTTATTTAGTAATTAATACACATCCACGAGTCTTGTGTAACCGTCGGTACATATTTGAGGTGCCTGTAGTTTTAGAACGTGTCTTGCATTGTAATTTGCTCGTTTCAGTTGTGACAGTGTACGAGGTGACCTAATACAGTGGGGTAGAGTCGTCGGTAAACACACACAAGACTAGATGTAAACAATAATAATATAAATATTAATAAACGATAAAAGAGTGTTGGTATGGTGGTAGAGAAGCCGCGGCCCTGTGTTCAGCCTCATAGTTAGGACTGGCCCGATATAGGTCAACGAGTCTGGTCGTTTTATTGTGATATTGAACTGAAACTAAACAACCATCAGTGCTATTCCCTCGTGTGTACAGCACCAGTGGAGGATGACAGGTAATGGGGAAAAGCAAACCCATGTGGACCATTGAGAGGCAAGGTATGAGACAGGGCCAGCCAGCCAGGAGGGGGCTGCTACTACCTGGTGCGCGCGCCGCCCCCCCACGCCTCCCTCCACTCCCCTCACACCAGCGTTGTGAGGTGCTTCAGTGTCCGCGCGACCACCATCAAGACTGAGAGAAGCAGCTACGCTCTCCTGGCTACTGCCCTCACAGTGTACCTCCGTCGTAGGTACATTAGCGACCCGCGTACTGCTACTCCGGTGGCAGGTACCTACTGCCTTTTGGGCCGCGTTGCCTCATCTGTCACGGCCACACGTCAAAGCGACAGGTAGAGGTCCCGCGGCTCCTGCCACAAAGTTGGCCCGTGTACCCTGGTGAACACCTGCTGAACATGTGCCAAGACCAGCGCTGTGCACCCTTGTTATGTTGTGTATTAGGACTGTTATGCCCATTAGTGTCAAGGGGGCAGGCAGGGGTGGCAAGCTACTGTGCCCCCACGCCAGCCATCATTCCGAGGCTTCCCTGCAACACCACGCGTTTGTTTAAAACTCCAATAATACCTGTAAGCAGCACTTAGTACGATATCTGACGGTGTGAAGGTATAGAAGTGAGCAGTGGTTATGTCTCCTGTCCAGCAACCAGTGACGGCCTTCACACCGGGTCTAACTGTGATGTACAGGAGCTGGGAAGATTGATGTCCACCCACTAATGGACCCACATGATAGTGACATAAGGATAATAAACAAGAAGCATTTACAGTGATGACATCAAGAATATAAAAGTGAATGTGTGATGAGTTACGTGGCGTGGATGCCGCCCTCTTTAACCTGCACCCCCATCAGCGTCGCCTGCGTGGCCTATGTGATGTACCCACTAATGTGTTTACCTTCACTGAATTTGTTTCTTTATAAAATGGTTCATAGGGTGATGGGGAAACACCCTGACGAGGGAAGGGAAAGGGAGCAAATGTGACCACCGTATGCAGACACACGTTACCACAACAACCAAAAGTCATATCACCAGAAGATTTATCAGGCTTACACCGAACACCGATTTGTTTTATGTCAGTGAAATATTTGTGTCTTTTACGGGGGATCTTATACCCCCCCCCTCTCCCCCAGGTAATTATGTCGGTATTTATTCACTCCATCGTTAAAACTGGATTGGGTGACAAATTAACTCCTCTTTGTTTTGTGTTTACAGAAGAAAATGACAACAAATAACTCAGGTCAGGGGTTTGTGTTGACGTCGGGAATGTTAAGCAGCTGATGGTATGGGTCTGTTCTTGGTGGTATGGGACTGTTCTTCGTGGTATGGGTCTGTTCTTGGTGGTATGGGACTGTTCTTCGTGGTATGGGACTGTTCTTGATGGTATGGGTCTGTTCTTGGTGGTATGGGACTGTTCTTCGTGGTATGGGTCTGTTCTTGGTGGTATGGGTCTGTTCTTGATGGTATGGGTCTGTTCTTGGTGGTATGGGACTGTTCTTGATGGTATGGGTCTGTTCTTGATGGTATGGGTTTGTTCTTGATGGTATGGGTTTGTTCTTGATGGTATGGGTTTGTTCTCGATGGTATGGGTTTGTTCTCGATGGTATGGGTCTGTTCTTGGTGGTGGGTCCGTTCTGGTGGTATGGGTCTGTTCTTGGTAGGGGTCTGTTCTTGATGGTGGGTCTGTTCTTGGTGGTATGGGACTGTTCTTGATGGTATGGGTCTGTTCTTGGTATGGGACTGTTCTTCGTGGTATGGGTCTGTTCTTGGTGGTATGGGACTGTTCTTCGTGGTATGGGTCTGTTCTTGGTGGTATGGGACTGTTCTTCGTGGTATGGGACTGTTCTTGATGGTATGGGTCTGTTCTTGGTGGTATGGGACTGTTCTTCGTGGTATGGGTCTGTTCTTGGTGGTATGGGTCTGTTCTTGATGGTATGGGTCTGTTCTTGGTGGTATGGGACTGTTCTTGATGGTATGGGTCTGTTCTTGGTGGTATGGGTCTGTTCTTGGTGGTATGGGTCTGTCTTTCGTGGTATGGGTCTGTTCTTGATGGTATGGGACTGTTCTTCGTGGGTCTGTTCTGATGGGGTTCTGTTCTGTTCTTGGTGGTATGGGTCTGTTCTGATGGTATGGGTCTGTTCTTGGTGGTATGGACTGTTCTTGATGGTATGGGTTTGTTCTTGATGGTATGGGTCTGTTCTTGGTGGTATGGGTCTGTTCTTGGTGGTATGGGTCTGTTCTTGTGGTATGGGTCTGCCTTCGTGTATGGGTCTGTTCTTGATGGTATGGGTCTGTTCTTCGTGGTAGGGACTGTTCTTGATGGTATGGTTTGTTCTTGATGGTTCGTTCTTGGTGGTATGGGTCTGTTCTTGTAGGTCTGTTGGTATGGGTCTGTTCTTCGTGGTATGGGTCTGTTCTTGGTGGTATGGGTCTGTTCTTGATGGTATGGGTCTGTTCTTGGTGGTATGGGACTGTTCTTTTCGTGGTATGGGACTGTTCTTGATGGTATGGGTCTGTTCTTGGTGGATGGGTCTGTTCTTCGTGGTATGGGTCTGTTCTTGGTGGTATGGGTCTGTTCTGATGGTATGGGTCTGTTCTTGGTATATGGGACTGTTCTTGATGGTATGGGTTTGTTCTGATGGTATGGGTCTGTTCTTGGTGGTATGGGTCTGTTCTGGTGGTATGGGACTGTTCTTCGTGGTATGGGTCTGTTCTTGTTCTTGGTGGTGGTGGTAGGGTCTGTGGTCTTGTTCTTGATGGTATGGGTCTGTTCTTGGGTATGGGCTGTTCTTGGTAGGCGGGTCTGTTCTTGGTGGTATGGGTCTGTTCTTGGTATGGGTCTGGTATGGGTCTTGTTCTTGATGGTATGGGTCTGTTCTTGATGGTGTCCTGTTCTTGATGGTATGGGACTGTTCTTGATGGTATGGGACTGTTCTTGATGGTATGGGTTTGTTCTTGATGGTATGGGACTGTTCTTGATGGTATGGGTCTGTTCTTGGTGGTATGGGACTGTTCTTGATGGTATGGGTCTGTTCTTGGTGGTATGGGTCTGTTCTTGGTGGTATGGGTCTGTTCTTGGTGGTATGGGTCTGTTCTTGATGGTATGGGTTTGTTCTTGATGGTATGGGTCTGTTCTTGATGGTGTGGGTCTGTTCTTGGTGGTATGGGTCTGTTCTTGGTGGTATGGGTCTGTTCTTGATGGTATGGGACTGTTCTTGGTGGTATGGGTTTGTTCTTGATGGTATGGACTGTTCTTGATGGTATGGGTTTGTTCTTGATGGTATGGGTTTGTTCTTGATGGTATGGGTCTGTTCTTGATGGTATGGGTTTGTTCTTGATGGTATGGGTTTGTTCTTGATGGTATGGGTTTGTTCTTGATGGTATGGGTTTGTTCTTGATGGTATGGGTTTGTTCTCGATGGTATGTTACGTTATGTTATGTGTTCACTCTCCCGTCACTGTTATTAATCCATTTTTCCTCACCCATTATACCTGCCTCTTTATGCCTCACACTTAAAAGTCTCTCAGCTCCAGTCTCCTTCACTTCAAGTTCTCTCACCTCTAGTTCTCTCACTTCCATTAGTCTCACCCTCTAGTTCTCCCCTCCAGTCTCGGATCTTAAGTCGAGTCCCCTCAATTCCAGTTCTTTTTAACCTTCCTTCCCTCCACTCATTTAACTGGATCTTCCTCACTGCACACGTAAACCAGTCTACATAATCTCGCTGGAGACTTTTATGTAGAGGTGAGGTCAGGACCCTGCCAAGGGAACACCGCGAGGGGGGGGAGTTCTTGGGTCAGTGGTAGGTCTTGTCGGTTCCGTCACCTCTTGCTGGGTCAGGCTGTGGGTGGCTGCCAGTTGAGGCTCTTTATTCAAGTCTGTCAAGATGAAAGAGAGGACAAATTAGTGTGACTGGATGAGAGGAAAGTCCATCAAGCTTCCAGGAAAGAGATCTTGTATATATATATTTTTTTTTTCCCTCGAGAATATTTGCAGAGGTTTTGTTTGTATTCTCGTGGTATATATTGTATCGTCTCAGCGGTGATGGGGGACGTTCATAGGTTTATCGTTCCTCAAGATACTAAATCAAGTGCGTAGATTTTTTTTTTTTTTCAGGGTCGCAATGGAGGCTTTAACTTCTCCTCTTTGACTGGGAGACACTGAGAGGAGCTAATTAACGTGATGGAAGGAGTTTGGGGGAAGAATTTAGACGAGTTATTTACCACGTCTTGAGCCGACAGTTGCCAGACGGGGGTGTGTTACTGGGTTGGGTCGTTTTGTTGTGGTGGTTACTTTTTTTTTTTTTATACTGTATCCTGAGTTACTTTCTTCTTTCGTTCTGTGACGCGAGACGTAACTTAACGATTCTAGATAGTGAATGTAACTAGAGTGAGGTGAATCTCAAGCCTTTGTACCGGATTAGATTAATGAGCCGGCGGGTATGTGGGTTATGTAGAACGGCGGTGGTGGTGGTGGTGTAAGGGCCCAGGTATGCTCGAATATAATCCCAATGGCTGCTAACCTTCTTAAAGAACTTTCAGATTTTAGATTTAAGATAAAACCTTCAGGTCAAGAGATAAGAAACCAGACTCCATCACTGTCTTTACCCCACGTGACCTGTACCCTGTTATGTATGGCCCCTGAGTGGTAGTGGTGGTGGTGGTGGCAGACGAGGCTTTTGGGGGCCTGAGTCTCGTTCCTCTTCTCAATCTAATTTATTCCTAAACTCCATTACACTTTCTTTCGGATGAGATTTTGTTTGAAGATAAAAGAAAATACTTTTTTTTTTGTGTTTTGAGTTTTTTTTTTTAGTGGTTCGTTTTTGTTCTTTTTGATTTTGCTTGTGGTTATGGTAGAATTTTTTATATTTAATGAGGCTGAATACTTCTCTCTCTCTCTCTCCTCTGAAGTTTTAGCGTCAGCACTTTCCTGAGGCACTAATTCCACCTTCATTACCTTCATTTATTAGTTAGTTTTATTTTGGATCGTAGTTTATTGCTAGTAAACATTTCCACCTTAACTAGTACTAAGTTATAATACGTTACTTATTAAGTGTAAGTGTGTGTGTGTGTGTGTGTGTGTGTGTGTTTAGTTGAAGATGTTACTAATGGAGATTTTTCCTTCTTTCATATTTTTTCGTTCCTGTTTTCATACTTCTTCTTCTGCCAGCTCATTTTCCTCCTCCTCTTTCCCTCACGTATCCAACCTACTTCCCCCTTCCTTCTCCTCTCCCCCTCCTCCCATCTTCTCCTCCCGTCTTCTCCTCCCCCCTCCTCCTTCCTCCACGATAACAACTCCGTCCTCCAAAAGTTGACTGGGGACGGATGAGAGGCGCCAATGTCTTATTATTTCCCTAGAGTATGTTGGTTTTTCTCCCCGCTTCGCTGTTTTCCTCCCTAGATATCTCCCCCCCTACTTTGGCGATTGATATGAACAACTCCCCATGTTCTTCCCTAAGGTGGTGGGGGGAGCGGGTGTGCAGAGGGATATATATATGGGTGGAGGGTTCGCTTGAATGGGGGGGGGTCGAGGAGGGAGGAAGAGAATTAAGGATAAACGTGCATGGAGGAACTCTAAAATCACTCTGGACACACTGGAGATGTAAGGGAGGGAGGGAAGGAAGGAAGGTCGAGGGAGGGATATGCTAAATTGTTGACTCACATGATCTAGTTGACTCACATGGCCTAGCTGACTCACATGACCTAGCTGACTCACATGACCTAGCTGACTCACATGACCTAGCTGACTCACATGACCGAGCTGACTCACATAACCGAGCTGACTCACACATCACAGCAGACTAGAACAGATTGGGAGGGGAAACTCGCCTAATGCCGACCACGTTAAGCCTAGTGTCGCTTATTAGGCAGGTAAATTAGCAGAGGAAGATGTGAGTGAAGGGGAGAGGAGGAGGAGGAGGGTGGAGAGGTGGGTGAGGAAGAGGGGAGAAGAAAGTTGAGGGGAGGAGGATGGCCGTGTCTTGAGACTACTCCAAGAGACCCGCTCACAGGGGAACTATCCAATTAGAACCCTAGATTTGATAACCTTGGCTTGTGATTGGAGTTAACTACCCCTTTTGGTATTGAGAAGATTTTGATTACATACTGTGAGAGAATATTTATTTATTTTTTTATTCGTTACTGGAATGTTTTTTTTTTACAATTTATATGTAATTGATGAGTTTTCCAATAGCGTTTTGTGAAGCTCCTCTTGTTTTTATCTTTTTCAAGTTGTATTGAATTGAGCTTCCGTTACCGCCGCTCCCCTTACCGTTAATCGCCCTCTCTTTCTATGCCACCGTTGCACGCAGCCATCGCCCGCCACTGCCACCGCCCGCTGCTGCCATCGCCCGCCACTGCCACCGCCCGCCGCTGCCATCGCCCGCCGCTGCCACCACCATCGCCGCGGGTCTTGTCAATGAGTACCCGCGCCGTTCTTCGAGCACGTTCCTTCCATGGGAGTGATTGTTTCTCTTGTGTGGCCACTTGTTCCGGGCGTGAGTTGTGTGACGGCCAGTGGTTCCGGTGTTTCGTGGTGGCAGCTTGTGAGTACTAGAGACAACTGGTGAGTACGAGAGACAACTGGTGAGTACTAGAAGCAGCTGGTGTGTACTAGAGACAGCTGGTGTGTACTAGAGGCAGCTGGTAAGTAGTAGAGGCAGCTTGTGAGTACCACAGGCAGCTGGTAAGTAGTAGAGGCAGCTTGTGAGTGGGTATTATAAACGATGGTGCTGGGGAAATGCCTTTGTGAATCGATAGGTGTGTGTGTGTGTGTATGTGTGTGTGTGTGTGTGTGTGTGTGTTTTGTGAGTGGGCTTAAGCGTTGTTTGGCTTCGTCTTTACTGAGTTATTTTATGTCTATCACGACAGTTTTGTTAGTTACTTTGAGACGGATATAAAGAGAAACGAGTTATATAATGGTCAAGGAATTACGTATACTATGGGGGTATGAGAGAGAGAGAGAGAGAGAGAGAGAGAGAGAGAGAGAGTTGGAAGAGCGTGGGAGCGTTGATCACACCTACATCAGCACAGGTAAAGTGCCAAGTGTGGCCCCGCGGGTGCCAACTCTGACTTAACACCACCACCTACCACATCCTTCCCTCACCTCCCTTCCCTCTCACCTCCCTCCCCTCACCTCCCTTCCTCACCTCCTGTCCCTACCTCCTCACCCCCTCCTTCCTCCCTCACCTCCCCCCTCCTCCTCCTCCTTCCTCCTTCCTCCTCCCTCCTTCCCTCCCTCTTGTAAAGCAGTTTAATATAGTCATTAAAATAGAGACAGACAGACAGACAGACAGACAGACAGGCAAACACAGAGACCGAAGTAAACCGTGACAGGTAACACACAACTAATCCAGGTATCCCCCATTTAAATATTTGCACAGGTAAAAGGTGACTCAATCTCCCTCATTGTTTGTTATTTTTTTTATATATAATTCTTTCAAGGACACGAAGGATGAACAAGGGAATGAATGAGAACCACTGGGAGAAAACACACACACACACACACACACACACACACACACACACACACCATCCCCGACACCTGCTCCTACTACCACCTGAGATCCTTGTAGTCGGAGAATCGTTGTTCGGACATCACAACCGCATCCAGCCCATACGTACGAACTGATCGCTATGAACAGCCCAAATCCCAACCATTGTAAAACGCATTAACTGTACAAACTAGTAAATACCATTTTGCACTGTCACTATGTTGAAATGAACTGTAGTTTGAGCTTTTCCCCATCTAGTTATTATATATCTTATTTGTATCACTTATGCTACTTGTATATTATTTGTAATTCGAAACCCATTCCCCAAATATGTAACTGTATATTTTCAGCCTTCTGGCTGCCAAGCTCTTTCAATAAACCGTTAATTATTATTATGATTATTATTATTATTATTATTACACACACCATCCCTCTGACTGCATCACAATTACATGTTAAGCTGTCGTTCGGAGTGTCTCTCACCTGTACAAGCAATTAGGGGTAGTTACATGGCATTAGTAATATACAGAAAGATGCCTCCTAAGAGAGTATAGCGGGCGAGGATTCACTTCAAAGGCCTCCCAAGAATGGAGAGAGAGAGAGAGAGAGAGAGAGAGAGAGAGAGGAATATAGAACTTGTTATCTGAGAAAAATAAAACCAACACAGTCTCTCTCTCTCTCTCTCTCTCCCATCATAATTGAGAGTAATTATATATATATATATATATATATATATATATATATATATATATATATATATATATATATATATACATCCCGTAATACCTTTATGATCATAAGTGTAATTCTCATCGTCAATGGGATTAAAAATGTGATGGTAAAATATAAACGTGTGTGTGTGTGTGTGGGGAATAAGATTGATAGATTGATAGATAGAAATAGTTAAAGATTGAAGGAAAATACATAAACAAGGAGTCAGAAATGAAGGAAGATTGATACATACATACATACATACATACATACATACATACATACATAGACAGGGAATTGGTGATTGAGGAATAGACGAAGATTGACATAGAGAAGGAGAGATAAAGAGTACACAGTGGACAGTAGAAGGTGGACAGAT